ACAAATTAGGGCATTCACTAAAAGTAATGAAAATATCTTTATTCATTGTGAGTCTAGATACAGTATTTGTGAATTTGCTGATAACTATTGTTTTTCTTATCAGTAATTGGTGGTGTACAAAACAAGCAATCTTGGGTGTAGTAAAGAGGCTAGATGATATTGTTAATCATTCAAGAAAGATATTAGATGAATAACAAAGATATATATGATGTATTAATTTATAGTTTTTTCTTTTCATGTTGAAAAATAGAAATTAAGTTAGTCAGCAGAGAAGACTCAATCCAACGATATATTAAAATGTTCAAATGAACACTCAAAGTAATGAACATTCTAATTATATTCTTTCTACTTTAACCCAATTTGATTTATAAAATATGAATGTTTCTCAATAAGCTCATCACTACATTTTATTTTACGTTTATTTTTTTTCAAATATAAAATAGAATCATTTATCTATTTGAGGAATGAAAGTTTCATGAATTTGAACGTCAATACACTTTAAAATGCAATGATATCAAAAAAATATTTTCCATCTTCAAATGTAAATAAACAAATAAAATGTTGATAAAAAAGAAAGATTTCCTTAAGGAAAAAAATAAAGAGAAGTAATGAAAATGATTCATATTTAAATGAACATAATCTTCTAACAATAAATATATTTGGAAGAAGAGTTACTTTTTATTCCAAAAGAGAATTTATTCTTTTTTAGACAGAAGTGAAAATACAGATAAATTATTTATATAACTTGGTTTAAGTTTTTATAAAACATTAAATGTAGAGTAATACAATAAAATTTTATTCAAAGAAATAAAACTTTTATCATAAGTTCTTACCCACTGTTATTGGATTATATTTGACATTAATCACTATCTTCAGTATATTAATGCTTCGATAAATCCCTTTTCAATTTTTTATTACTTATTTTTCTTTAAATAGTTTCAGGGTTTCTATATTATTATAATAAAAAATTATTAATGATTAATATAAAAAAGAAAATAACAAATATAGTTTTTTTATGTTTTAGTAATAATAAATGATAATGTGATTCAAACAAGAAAAGTTAATAGAAAAAAAAAACAAATTTTAATCTCCATTTGTTACTAAAAGTTCTTATGCAGAACGAACCAAAAACATATACATTTGTTCGAACTATAGAAAGAATTATTTCTCAAATTTCAAATTCATTAAAAAATCAATTAAACGATATGTCAAAACCAAGAACAAATGAACAAAAGGCATTTGTTGATGAAATATTTAATTGTCATCAATTATTAATGAAAGCATTGATTATTACTCGATACTTAATATCTGATAGACCATACATTGATGAACTCATTCGTGGAACAAGTATTTTACAACATAACATATCATGTCTTTGTGAAATGACAAATTTTATTTCAAAAGACATTGCTACTGTATTACCATGTATTCGTGTTCTTCCTTACGAAGTAGAAGCTGCATTAGAAGTTTTGTTAGAACATCAATTTAATTCTTTACCAAGACAAATTCATAATTTAATAAATCTTCGGGATTCTTTCATGGATCCAACTCCAAATTTTACAAAATTAACTATTTACTTAAGAAAACTCTTTTATTTATGTGCATTAAAATATCCATTTGATAGTGTTGATATTGTTCATGGAATGTTAGTATGTAAAACACCACAATATTCTGTTTTCCTTACATTGAGAAATCCTAGTGTTATTTATGAAGAACATTCAGATAACATTTCATTTGAAGTTGTTTCAATTTATCCAACTGAACAAGAAGTTAATTGGCAACGAATGAATACCACTAGAATGAAAGATTGTCCATATCTTCTTGATAATTTAAATAAATGGATTAATGAAAAATTAGAACCTCCTAAACCAATTATTTTAAATGGAATAGAAATCAAACAAAAATGTTCAGAAGATGAACCAATTCGTGAATTTAATATTTTAAAAAGCTTTTTAGATAAATATGTTGTTTTCCTTCATAAACATATATTAGAATCTAAAAGCCAATCATCAAAGTTAGGTTATCCTTATTTGTTATCTCAAATATCAAAAAGAGAACATAATTTCATTAGTAGAACTGAAATTTATTATTGGGGGAAAACAGCATCTTCATTAGATCATTGTCCTCAAGGATATAAATCACTTGAACGTCCATGTTTAGTTTATGAATATTTTCCTAAAGAATATAGAATTCAAGTTACTCATAACCCTTCATTACCGATTCAATTAGATTCAAAATTATCATTAACAGAACAACTTATAGTTGTTACAGAATATTTAACCCAACAATATAAAGAACAATTACAATTTGAATCAACACCTTTATATCCAATACCATCATTTGTGCTTTCACCATTAACTGGTAGAATAAAATTATATAATGTAGGATTACCTCCATCATTAGTAGAATATTTTGAAACATTATTTAGTATTGGAATTAATCACCCATCAGTTCTCAAAACTGCAATAACAGAATTTAAGTTAAGAATGAAATATGCATCACTTCATACTATTGCATTAATGCATTCCCAAGCATCTAGATTAGAAGAGCCACAAATAGTGTATATTGAAAAAAAAGAAAAAGAGTCATTAATTAGAGGATTTCCATTAACATATCGTCTAAGTGACTTTACAAAATTGTATGTTACAATTGAAAATAATATTGTTAAAATGGAATTACAAGTAAATGGTGAATGTATTGATGATGAATATTCCAATACATATATTTGGGAATCATTTGATAATCTTTATGAATATTTCTTTACTTCATTCGAAATATTATTACAAAAAGCTTATAACACTACCTTTCCTCAAATATTTTTACATTACTTTAATACAACTAACAAAGATACATCTTTTAATATTGTAAATAGAAATGAAACATTATATGTTTATCATTTACTTCTTCCTTTTGTTCAAAAATTATCTATTTCAATTGACAATGACCTTCAATTAACAATTAAAAATATTCCAACAAAAATATATAATTTAGTTAATGATGATGGAGACTATGTTATAACAACTCCAAAAACATTTATTGATGATGATATTAATATTCTTCTTTCAAAATATGCCACACTTTTTCAAGTTACTTTATTTGCTTCATTTATTGGTCCAGATGAAGTAACATTTGAAAATAAAGAAGTTCAATTTACTGAAAACAGTGTTATCATACCTAACACACTTAGTGTAACATTTACATCTTCTAATCCTGAAATTGTTATTATGGAATGTAAGGTAATAACAGACATTGAGTCAGAACAAAGTTTGTTTGAATCTATGAATTCACATAGAATTCATTTTATTTTTGATTCACCTAAATTAAGTATTCAACAATTTTTAACATTACGTTATACTATTCAACATTTATTAATGAGTACACTTTCAGTTATTGTTAATCATCCTATGACTCTTAAAACAGAATATCAATTGGATATTTATAACTTTTTTGTATTTACTTATCAATGTGATAATTCTTCTCATCGTTATCCTTCATTCTATAGATTCATACATCATTTTGATAATCAGTTACAAGTATGTTGTAAACCTTTCAAATGTGTTTTTGAACGAACAATTGAACGTTCTCTTCCAAAACAAGATGAATATTTTACATCTAAAGAATTACCAAATAAATTATCTTTAGTTCATGCAATTAGTCATCTTTCTATATTAGCATCATTATTAACCACTTCACCAGCTTCTGTTGTTGATCAAAATAATTGTTTTAAATTAGAACATTTTATTGTTTCAAGTCCATTAAGACTTGATGGTTTTAGCCCAGTAATTACTTTAAAACAATCAGAATCAGCAAGTGAAAATTCAAGAATATTTGCAGAATATTTTAATGATAGATTTACTGTTCCTTTCAATTCAAATTCAATTTCTGCTGCGGCGTTGTATATTAGTACTTTTATTACTATATCAAGATTTGATTTTTCAAATGAAATTTCAATATTACCTAGAACCTATTTAGTTTGTTGTATTTTTTAATATTTATTTTTTAAATTATAATAACTTATTACTATAGGAAAGCAAAAAACAAATGAATGGATTTTATTTTGACTTTTCATTAAAACCAACTGGAGAAAAGTCATTGAGTGTTGAATTAATATTTACTATGATAAATGGTAATAGATTTAAAATAGGAATGACTTATACATCAAATGGTTGGTATATCATGCAATGTGAACCAATGAAAAATGGTATAACAACTGATTTTAGAGGTCATTTAAGGTTATTGTTAAATAAACAAGATAATTCTCATGCTTCTGATGGGCTATTCAAAATTATTCAAGACTTTAAAGATAATAGAAACAACCTTTAAATATACTTTTATTTGAAATCATTCTTAAATAACATTACTGAATTAAATTTATTCAATCAATTTATTTCTATCTTTTTTTATGCTTTTTATTTCCTTTTTTCTTAAATGAAGAATTTCCAAATGTTTTATTTCCTTTCTTTTTATCTTTACCATACTTTCCCCATTCATCAAAGTTTAATGCATTATCTTTGTTAATATCAAATTTTAAAATACCACCATCAAATTCTCCTTGTGTTAATTTTAATGTTCGTTCTCTTTTCTTTTTCTCTTGTTTTTGTGGTAAAAATCCAGGTGCAATAACAAGTTCTTCTTCTCTAACTTTCTTTGCATTTAATTCTCGTTCTTTTTTTTCTTTTGCTTTTGTACGAAGAAGGATGTTATATGGTTGTTTAATTGTTTTAGGTTTTAACCCAAGTCGTTTTCTAAAATCATTATCTAATTGAATTTTAGCAACTCCTTTTGAATGTTCTCGAGCAATTCTTTTAACTTCATTATAAATTTTGTTAAATTCAGACTTATCTTGTTTAAATAAAGCAGGCTTAGTTTCTTGTTCTTTCTTTGTTTTCTTTAATACTCTTGACATCTGAATAGGTTTTAAGTTTTTTTTAATTTAATCAAACTTAAACAAAAAGAAAAAATTTTCTAAAAACAATTATTATTCATTATTTAACAGATCATCACTCTATTTGATAAAAACTTGCAAAGTTAGATGCTAGCCTTGACAAACTTGAATTCTTATGATGAACTAATTCAGATAATCTGTGAAGAAATTCTGTTGTTGGTGAAAGGGTAAAGAACATTGTTGTTGCAAAATAATAAAAACAATTTAAACCATCTAAGATAATAGGTGTGGATTTAGAGCATATGGCATGTATATAAAACCTACGAATGTCATTTATTTGGTTATCAGATAAATATTCTTTCTTTAGTAAATACAATTTACAGAAATATGAAACATTTTGATAATAAAAATGAGTTGATTCTCTTTTAAAAGAATGTACAATTATTTTCTGAATATTTGATTCAATACATTTCTTCCTAAAAGTATCATTAACTAAACATAAATTTAATATCATTATCACTCGTTGTTTTATTTCTTCGTTTGTTTTTTTCATCAAATAATTCACACATTTAATAAATGAACATTGTGTTAAATATTCTTTAAAAACATCATCAACAATTAGTGATGAAGTAATTGATAAAATTAATTCTAGTTCATTGTCTTTCCATAATTCTATGTGAATATAAGACCATTCAAGAACATTACATTTAATAACAATTTTATCAATATCTTTTTCTCCTCTTATAATAAGATTTAATATTTCACCTAAGACAGTTTTATCTTTTGTTTTCATTCTTTCAATCCAACTTTTTGTTCTTTTTGCTTTTGTTATAGTTATATCCATTTGACAATCAAATAATTACTAAATTTAAGTTCTTTCTTAAATAAGAATGCTTTGAAGTCTTTCTTTTCTCTTCTAAACTCAAATCATTATGCTTTATTGCTTTTTCACTCTTTTCAAAAATCTGACTTTTCGGTTGTGAATATGATATTCTATTTATATCTTTTGTATTTTTTTTTTTGACATTTAATTTTTTGTCTTCTTGTTGACTTTTTAAACTGATTTTTCGTTTTAATGAATTTTTCTATGACTGAATTAAATTTCATATTACGCAAAAAGTGTGGATTCATAATTCATGTTCCACTCAAACCTAGATTCATTAAATCTATATGACTTTGAACTAAACACCTCAAATAATAACATGACTTCTAAGCAACTCAACCACCAGCTGAACATTTAAATATACACTTTTTATGAATCATTTTTTAGTATCAAATAGACTTTCATACTTAAACATAGTCCGCATAACAGTTGCTATATTCTCACTACATCACAAACATTCTTTTTAGGATATTAGGATTTATACAGTATTTTTCAAAGATATAAATTAAAATGATAGTTGTATAGATTGTTCTGTATATATTGCCAAAACTCTTAATACAAATAGAATGTGTGTTGACTTAAAATGAGATATACTTAAATAGTTTTTATAAATGAAACACAATTGTTTTCTCTCTGTACGTCTTCATTTTCATAGTATATAACATAACACAATGAGAGTTGTTTATGGAAGTAGTAATATGAATTAATTTTCTCAATGTATTTTATACATTTAAATGGATAATTATGAATTATTATAAATTCATTATTGTCATTTTAGTGTTAATATTATCATTATTTAACGGTTATTACCCATAATATGAAGTATCACTTTTATAAAATAAAAATAATATATCCATTAAGTTTATTCATTTTGATACATCTAAACGGGTACGAAAATTAGCAAAGAAAAAATGCATCTAAATAATTTACAAAAAAGAAAAAAGATGCAAAAAAATTTGCATCCATAGAATATTCCACTTTATTATATTTTGCTCATAAAATAAAAATAAATAAAAAATAAAAAGTATGATAAATACAGAATATATAAATATTTATGTTTATATTTTATGATCACTTGTATTCATTTTGTATGAAATATTAATGAAATAGATGATTTAATGAATCGTATTTAATTATTTTTATTCTTTTTATTCTTTTCTTTATATGTTATTTATCTATCGTATTTTTATATTTATTTCTCTGTTTATATTATTTATCTATCATCTTCTTATTATCTATATATTATTATATTATTATATTCTTCTTATTTTATTATTTTTATGTTTATATTATTTAGATTTTCTTATTGTTATTCTTTTATATTTAAATGTATTTTATTATTTGTTTATTCATCTTTATCATTTTTATATTCTTATCATTTTTATATTCTTATCATTTATTCTCTTTTGATTTATATTAATTTTAATTTTATCTTTTATACTTTTTATTTATTATTATATCATTGATTATCATTTCTATATTTATTTATCATTTATTCTTATTATTATTTTGTTTTCTATATTCTATATCATATATTCATATCATTTTCATTTATATTTTATCACATATTACATATTATAATAATAACATATGATTGATTATATAATAAACATCATAATGAAGTTATACATATAAATAATAAACATAAAAAGGAATAAAATATTTTTCATTAATAAAATAATATTAATTATTTTACACCATTAAATTAACACTTTTATTGAATATTTCTAATTTTTACATTAAAAATACACTTTTTATTTCTTATTTTCTTCTTTTATTACATCTTTGTGATTTATTATTTTTATATTCTTTATTATACTTTCTTTTTATTCTTTTATATATTTTTATTCTTTTTATATTATTTGTTTTTCGTTGTTTTTCTATTTCTTTCTTCTATTATTTATCAATTTTATATTCATTTATTCATTCTTTTTATTTCTTTTTTATTAATTCTTGAGTATTGTATATTTCTTTATTATTTCATTTGTGTATTATCAAAATATATGTTTTATTGATTTTATGTTGAACAAAATATTAAATATAATTCAATATTTTCAATGTTAAATATTAATTATTTATTCTGAAATGTTGTGTATATTTATTATATTAAATGAATATGATGAATGAATATCAATATTATTGTTTATTTGATTTTAAAAAATAATAAATGAATATGAAATAATGAAATAATGAAGACAATGAAATGATAATGAAATAGAATAATCTAATATTGAACAAATCAAATAAAGAA